ATTTATTGACACCACCGAAAAACAGTCAAACAACTAAAATGGTATAATGCCTTCTCAACCATACTGCAAACAAAGTACAGACACCAAAGTAATAACTGAACTGCTAACGAACTCTCAATTTGATAGGCGCAATGTTACTTTTCTTTCCAGACCATAACTCTTGAACAACATTCCCATATTCTATTGCGATCGTTCCCTTTGTTGAATTTGATCTTCAATATAATTAAGCTATCCATCAATAAATACTCTTCAATCAATGAATATAGCTCATGGCTTAAAAAAATTCTGAAAGAACCCTTATAATTAGCTAAAAGCGAATTTGAATTAATGTAAACCAATAAATTAACTATTTAAAATCGAACACTGAATTTTTTGTAACGAACGATTAAAATCGATCACATTCGCTTTGAGAATTTCTAAAGCAGAAAGTTTTCAATGAATACAGCAAATGTGTACTTTTTCATGTCGACTTTATGTCGTCCTTCGATGAAATATTCAGTGAGTGGTTTGGTATTACTCAAACACTGGATAGCACTATTCATATAGCACGTATTACCCATGTTGTAAATACCAGTGACACCATTATGAGAACTCGTCGGTTCACCTTCACTCTCGCTCGATTCTGAATCACCGTTCGACGACGTCTCCAATCGTGATACTTCCTCAGGCCAACTCATATCCGCATTTCGCAACTCCAGTAACAACTTAAATTCATTTCGTTGTTCGCTGATAATTTCAGGAGAATAAATTCATCTCTTTGAATTCGTTCTTTTGGAATCGTTTTCGATTAATGATTAGAATTGCTTTCAAAAAGATCTCTGATACCAGAATGACGACATTTTGCTAGCATAAAGTGAGTGAAATTTCATTCAATTGATTGTGATGCAACTGAGCTGAATTAGATTTTGCTCAGTGTTGGATGGAAAGCAATAAACTGGTTCGGTTCTCAATGGATGGCAACAGTTTAAACTGACTCCTTAAAAAACCAAAATAACCAACAAAAAGAATGCAATCAAAGAAAACTGGTGAATGTGATCAAAACAATTCGACCATTCAATGACCTGAGCAAAATTTTTGATTTTCAGGTTGTGCAAAGTGGTGGTGTCTTTATCGAGTAATTTTCGTGACTTCCTCCCGTCCACTTCAACAGTCCAGAGACGAGCTGAGTCGGTATCTTGGATGCGCAACTGATTTATCAATAGACTTAACACATCCGCTACCGTACTACTCCTTGACAAACACACTGTACACCACGGTGACTGACGTAACGATGATCTTACTGAGGCATTATTCCACTCTAGAATTTTGCAGCTTAAAGTTCGGTAGCAAAAACATCTTCAGCAACATAAATCAAAAAAAAAAAAAAATCAAATAGGAGATTATAAATTTCAATATAATCGATTCCCAAACGAAACAAATGAACGGATGCAATAAATTTGTTTTTCTGCAAAATCGGGCCATAAAAATGAAAATATTTTAATAGAGATCGCTGA